GTAGCTTATTCAGTCAGCGAGCGAGTGAAGAAAACACCGCATTTTAGCGATGACTCATCTGAACGCCTCTGATTGGTCATTGCATTCATAAGCTCAACAGCATCGTGTGTGATTGGTTAATGCGCAGTGCTGTAAAAACGCATGTATCTGGCTCAGCGCCAGCCAGCGAAAGCAGATTTGAATTTAACAGCTGATGATATGGTGCACTGAGCGTTCTAATCACGCCGGTGTAATTGTATTAAATATAGAAAATATTAATCGGCTATTTTTTATCTTTTGGAAGCTGCATTCAAAATCCACTTGGCTCAAAAATCTACTTTGAACGGGCATGACGCCTCTGTAATCTTTTTTATGTTTTATTCTATTTTTCTTGTTTCTCTTTATTTTTATTTTTAAGTAGGGTGATTGAACTTTAAAAATACAATTTAAAATTAAATTGTTCTTTCTTAAATTTTACTGTATGGAGATTGATTTTTTCTTCTAAATAATCCTTTGTCATTTTTTGGATTTTTTAAAGGTATTTTCTCTGGATCCATTGCACCTGTGATTAATGGCTTCCACAGTGATTTCTCTTTCCTGAATCCTAACATACACATAGAGTTTTGAACTTTGGCCCTGACCCCTGGAGGACATTGCTGCCTGCAGTTGTTTTTTTTTATCTCTAGGAGATTCCTTGTTTCATCTTGCCTCTCTGTGTTGTCTTTGGCCTCCTCCTGCAGTTTGTTTGTGATTTCAAACAGAGCTTATGATAACAGGGTTGAGCTCTCTCATGATACAGAGCTCTGATAAGGGTCTTGATATCAGGTCACAAAGAATCAGGTCCGGTTATCCCACAACTTGACCCAGACAAGGAAAGCCTCTATTTTATTATCTGAATACTTAAGAAGTATCATTCACATAAGGAGTATAGATTAAACATGAGCAAGGTCACTGCGATCTGCTGATATTTTTGCGGGTCACCATTTTGGTGTCGCGTCACCAGGAAGGGATCCTTCCACGCACATTCCTGCTCTTTTTCATTTTAAAGTCCCTTATTGCTCGGAGACGTATCTCAGTCCACATCTGATTGCCATCATAATGTTCATGTGCGGGCTTGACATGCTCTCTAATGCTTTCATCACATGTATTCAGGTTAAGGAAGATAGGGATTGTGGTATTGGGATCCATTTTCTAACATGCTGTCTTCTCATCTCATTATATGTAATGCATGAAATAATTAATCATTTTAATTATTATTTTATTTATTTATTGTTCCATTTTTTTCTAGTTGACTTATTTTATTAATTTGCTAATTTGTTTATTTCTGTTTTTAAGTAGGGAGATTACATTTTGATAAAATAAATAGTGCACTCTAAGGACTCTTTAAGAGTGCACTATTTATTTTATTTGATTTTATTTATCAAAGTCTCCTTGCTTAAAAATAAAAATAAATAGTAAAAATTAAAAATAGAATAAAAAGTAAACAGAGTACGTAAATAATAATTCAAATAGATATCATTAAACAATGAATACATAATAATTAAAATTATTAATTGTCTCCAACAGCCCTCAAACTATGGAGGACGAAACCTGCAAAAACAATAAATAAATAAATACACAAATAAATAAATAAATACGCAAATAAATAAATAAATGTGTGTATAAATACACAAATTCTTGTTTAAATACATATAGAAATAATTAAACATGTGATTAAAAGTAGGCAAATAAATAAAATAAATTGGTGGGCAAATGGAAAATGTTTAAGGAAATGCTAAACTCATCCTAACTATTTTCCTTTGATCACTCATTTATTTCTGAATGTAGTTCCGCATTTATTTTTCCTCTGCACAACATGCTAATGAGAGGGTGTACACAACCCTGGCAGTGACGATGGCGGAATCTGCTATGCCTGCCGGCTGCTACATATTCAAGCAAAAGCCAACACAGATTAGTTGTTTGAAACAAAGCAAAATCAACGTAGCTCACCTATCAAGAAGTAACATAGCAACCTCGCGTCCTTCCCGCTCCTTGAGTTCTCTCCACCGCTAGAAAGCTGCTGCAACCTTTACTCAAGTATACCTTTTGCCTGATCGTAACCTTTCTTTTTAATGTTTTGTTCCTCCAAATTTTTCCTCTTTGTTAATCTGCCATCTCTCGCTATCTATAGTTGATCTGCTAATATCTGTACCGTGCACTCACTGAGTGCTCTCTTCTCCCTATCATTACTAGACACGCACCTTACAGCTGATTTGTGACTCGGCCTGACACTGAGGTCAAAAGCGTTTTTCAAATATTGCTTAGTGCACCTTTGACAACTGCTGTTTTAAGAACAACAGTCTTTACGATTATGACTGCGTACACTCAGAGGTGGGGGACTCGAGTCACATGACTTGACTCGAGTCGCAAATTTAAGGACTTGTGATACACAAAGCATGGCAACACTTCATCTGCGAAGAAGAATAGTGGGCGAAAACCGTCGAACACTAAGAAGGATTGTGTCCAAACAACACAGAACTATACTGCAGCAAAGTGAGAGCATGAAGATCCTGTTTCCTTTGTAATGGGGAAATTATGTGGTAACAGGCTCTTATGTGAAAAATGCAAAACAGATATAACATGATTTGCTCAGTATTTTTCACATTCTTAAAGCATAGTATTATTTAAAACAAAGCATATAATAAATTACTGCTGATGTCAAGTAGAGTGCTTTAATGCTTTGAACTGTCTGGTGGTCAGGACAGCTTGTTCTTGTTATGGCAATGATATTAATCAGTGATGAATGTGTTGACATAACTGCATGCATCTGTTCTTCAGCCGTTTAATGCCCCTATCAATGTTGTCTCACCTCTCCTCTTGTCCTACCACATTTTCATGTCCTAAGGGCCTCTTTCTCTGTTCTTCTATCTCACTTTCTCTTTTTGTTTTGGCATTTACGTAATAACCAAATTCTTCCATTCCTTTCACATAAAACAACCGTCTTACTTTGATCAAGCAAACCACAAACTTTGAGTCAAATATAAATGAAATATCACATCAGCGTCTCTGGCACAACATTTGAGCATCGGTTTCTTTCTGTTGTTCCATCGTCATGACAACTGTGCCATCTTTCACAACAAGAAGTGGACTGGACAGAGATATTAAACATCCATCAACCCTCATTAATATCATATCTAGAAAACGTTCTTGAGGCTCTTTTGATTTCAAAGAGACAAAAGGCTGCCAAATGTATAGTCAAGACCGAGCACTCTCAAATAACATTGGCATTTTCCACAAAAAGGGTAAAAAAAAATTTCCGTAAATGTTCAGTTAAAATGACTCAACTTTCAGAAAATATGTACATGTGACGTTGTTTTATGATTTATATTGATCTTGTTAATATTTTGAATCATGTTCAGTACTTATTATGGCAAGAAAAAATTAGAAATATTACACATATAAATACACATACAAGAAATTAGGTAACATGCCCAACTTTAGCCATACCTCAACTGACATAAACCAATGACAATAGTCTAAACCATAAAATAGTTCTCGCTTCAAAAAAACATGGGATTTGTGCCTCTAACGGTTTTAAAGGTAATGGGACACCAAACTGCACTGAATTTGTGGAAAGTGCAGTTGCTTCATGAGCTGTGTTTAATAAAACATTTCACAGTTTGCAAAATCAAACACAGCTATTCTAACTGAAGAGCCACATAAATTTTTAAGTCTATTTCTCATGAAAGGTTGCTTTTGGTCATATATGACTGAAACTCTTATCGAGTTTCTATCTCCCAGAGAGCCGCTTTGTACAAAGCTTCAGGTACGGCGGGCAGCAGACAGAATGGCTCCAGACAGCTTGTTAACCTTGAAGCCATATAGAAGCAAAGAGGTGCAGGACTTCTATATGTGGCCAAATGAGCTGGAACCAGTGGACCCTCTAGACCCAGTCTGTTTTCATTCCTCTGTATGTCCCAGTGTCTCTGCCGAGCTTGATGAGAAAACGATACCGGTCATACATTCTCCTCAGACCATAGCCTCTGTGTTCAGACGGCGATTTGATAATATCAAACCTGACATCATGGAGGAAAACCAGACAGAAGGAAAAAAAATTGGACTTCTAACAACTTTCTCAGCTGTTTCTCATAGAGTTACGCTGGAGAAATAAAAATAGACAGAAATGACACAGCTGCTGAGATATTGTAATTGTAAAGAGCAATGAAATCAGTGTGGATAATGGGAGAGAATTTGATGAGAAATTATATCGAAATCGTTTGATTGCAGACTTTGATATATTGGCAGTTTGAGACATTGTTAAGATCTCTTATGACACTCTGAAACTTGAGATTGCTGGGGTTTCTTTGACAACAAATTGAGAAGCTTTAAAGGAGCAGTTAATCCAAAAACAGGGTAAGTGAATAATGACAAAATGTAATGTTAAGGTCAGTCATTACCAGGGGCGGACTTACCCATTAGGCAAAGGTAGGCGACCGCCTTGGGCCCCCAAAAGCCAAGGGCCCCCTAAAATGCTTTTCATATAGGATATGCGCATTAAGCGCGGACACGCGAACGGTTGTTGTTTACGGTGTTTATTACCACGACAACCGTCCGAGTCTGTGGTGCCTGCAGGTGTACGGCTGTACGCACTGTGAGCGCTCAGACTGATCTGAGATTAGCCCCGCAAACATTTCAGCAGTTATCATAGGCCAGCCTGTGTGTCCCATATTACGCCAAATAGAAGCAGAAAATCGTGCTATACTACGCACTTTCATGAGATCGGGTTAGCCTACAACAATGAATTTGTTGGCTATTTCACAAATGGGAATACAACGAATTCATGACAATGTTTACATTCAAGCTAACCGTAAAATTTATAGTGAAAATTACTATAAAAACGTCTAGAATGCAATAAAGTAATTTTAAAGCTGTTTTTAAAGCATTTGCTGCATGGGTAAAAAAAAAAAGGCTAATAAATAATTCACATATCAGACAAAATTGCGTTGCAGCAAATCCTTTAAATTTGAAGGTATTCAGAACAGAGCAACATAAAAATCAGAAAAAGCAGCTATACAATTATAGGACAAAGTTTTACATATAGGCTATGCCATTATAATTTGTGTTTTGTTTTTTAATTGTATGGAATTATAAAATAAAACGCAAATTATAATCGGGCCTGTTTTAGGCTTTTCCGTATTTTTATATTTTAGATATCCATCAATTATG